ATTCTCCTTAAATTCTACTTAAATTTGTTCTGGACAGCCTTTAATACCTTAATTGCTTGTTTAACACTGTTTCTGTAATGGGCTAAATAAGGCTCCACCATTGTACCCCCCACCCCTTTGCGTACACACAAGGAAATAACAGTGGCGCATAAATTCTCCTTTGCTTCTACAGCACATATTCTGTATTGCTATTATGTCCTTTTTTCGTACCTAATATAGTCTCGGGGCGCCACAAGTTCAAGCTTGACGCCTATTCCAACATTACCAACGCCAATGATGGTGTTTCTTGAATTTGGTGCATTCGACTTCGCCTGACTCATTGCCACATCCTGTAAGTTTATTTGCAATTGTGCTATGTAATCTGACCTGGTACCTCATCTTTTCTAAATGACGCACATCGCAGCTTTGGAATCCAATTGATGTGAGAATTCCCATGGAAATTTACAAATAGTTGACAGTACCGCACCACCTGGTAAAGTGGCAAATTCCCTCTTCAAGTGAGACCAGTAATTCGTTCTGCAATTTGGGAAACAATGAGCTCACATAAGCCGTTCTAATAAAAGCACTTATGGCAAGTTATTCTCCACCATCCAAAGCTGAACCACTGTAGATGAAGTTAGTATGAGACCTTATGAGCCATTTTCTACAGCTTAAACGTAGGATCTTAAGTGTCATCAGAAAAACGATATAAATGCATAGGAACATAGAAAAGAAAAATCACTGCTTTCTATTGTTCCAACTTGTAACTTCATCTCTTACCCGTGTTGTCTTCACACACCTCACCATAATGCCCAAATTTACCACTACAACTTCAACATCCAATCATTTCCCTTCCAATGCGTATGTCTCGAGCAATTTTGTGCCACCACACATTCACATGAAGCAGCTATTTGCTCAGTTACTTATAAAAAATAAGGTAGATTTACCTTCATACAAGTTCACGTACCGTCGTAACTTCAATCAACATAAAAATTTGTGAAACCCGTGTACATGCGCGCATTCGTTCGTACGGGGCAACGCAAAGCAGGGTCCAATGCTGCCTTCCAACTGACCCGCAAGATGTTCCCCTTGGGATAGAGAGGATGAGAGTGGCCCACATCATCTCCTTACTACCCTCAAATTACTCCAAGTTACTATCACCTACCCTTTCAACTTGAAGCTCACTCATGAAATCGACACTTTGTGAGGAAGATTGAAACACATTCCATGGAAGTCCAGGTGGCAAGCGTATGTCTTTATGGGGCACATTTATGTATTTGCGATCTCAGTAGTGATTGATTGTGCAAAAGGCAAGAAATTGTTTGTTTATCTTGTAGCTTCCATGCACACCTGTTCACGGGGAAGTAGCGCGTTATGGGCAGATGTACAGATTCGTGCATTTCCCTTCCACTTTCAAGCGTGCTTGTGTCCGCTTTTCTCCATTCTCTTCCTCACTATAGACATCTTGATCTTTTCATGTTCTCCCAAATCGTGCTTACAGCCCCAACTACGCATTCCATCACGGGAAGCAATGAAGGTTTGAATCCGAGGATGTTCTTCCCATTGACAATTAAGGACTCGCTAAAGGAGCAACACAATCCACTTAATCATCTTCTGCCTGTGTTTATCTCGCCATGACGTTGAGGATAAAGTGTTTCACATGCACATCTAGAGGCTACTTCAGTAGCATCGGAGGAGATGTTGGGCTCATAAATGTCCTGAAGTGGAGGCATTTCTCTATAATGTGGTGATACAGTGGTTGGTTTTGCAGCCTACACCACTGTTGCATCAAATTTCACTATTTTATGTCTGTAAATGTAACAGATGTGGTCAAATCGACTCAGTTGGAGTGTTCGTGGAATTGTTTTCACTCTTCCTCAATTACTTACTTTGATGACCTTTCTGTTTATTCCCACCCCCTCCACTGTACACCTATCCGAGTTATCGCCCTAACCAAACACCTTCTTCATTAACTTCGCATTTGTTTTGTACTTTTACGGTAAGGAGGTTTCACAAACACTGGTACATTTCCGTTGGTTGACAAAGGGCAGACCAATTACTCCGTGGTAACCTCATCCACGACAAGTTCTTCCCTCGCATAGAGAGGCTTAGGAATGGCTTTTCATTTGGCTATTTTATTTCCTTTGAATAGAAACCTTTTCACTGACTACCAACAAATGCGTTGATAACAATTTGTGAAGTCTCGTTGTCTTCTAAGGTAAACTATGAATTGTAAAACCTGCCCCATTTGTCGCTTGCATGCTACACCTCTCCTTCATCACCTTACCCAGTGTTCATGCTTTACGGTTCCATTCTTGTTTGTTTATATTCGTGTCTCACAGTCTGAACTAGGGTATAGGTTCACAAGGTCATCAGACTGCTTAAAGTCTTCAACAAATCGTGATGCAGTCCTCTACCATGACCTCATTTGTTGATGCCAGTCGCAGATGTGCCATGAGGCCACCCAAACCCTTATTGGAGTGTGTTCTTGCTTGTGTTTGAGGCTTATCGATGTTTGCGATGCAGCAACTACAGCAAGAGTTGCTCCAGTGGTGGTCGTCGCAAACGATATGAAGTGGTCCAATTCGAAGACCCTTCCTAGGATGGCAGGCAACAGGGATGTTGATATTTAACCAAGCGGATCCATCGTCCATGAGGTGATGGTTCAGCTGTACTGGTAAGTGTTTCCATCCCGAAACCTCCCTGACATCGGTTTGACAATGCATTGAGTATACAAATGTGGCAGATTTCATCCTGCCTTTGTAGAATCAGCATTCCTCAAACGCTCCTGCTTTGCTACTCCATAGTCCTTTCCATTCTCCCTCTATTCGCCTGACACTACTAGTCGCCCAGCTTGCAGAAAGGCTGATTGTGGGCTCGTGTGCCACAATGCCGCCTTCTGTGAGAACTCGACTGTTGGTAGGAGGTAACAAGTTGGAGGCCTATCCAACGTGAGATGTGGCTTGTCCAACACCTGCCATTATTTGTGTGGCCATGTATATTCACACTGTAGTCTGAACCCACACAAAAACACTAGATGATCATGGCGGTTGAAGCGACGGGATGCGATACGACTGACGGTGGTTTTCCGCATTGCGCGGTGTAAAATTTGAAATATTACGTGCACTGTTTCATTGCGTGGTGTCAGACCATCACATTCTCTCCTCAGTAGTCTGAAAATATGAATTACATTTTACTAACCCTATTTGCATTTGAATAATTCCCTCAAATTTCGCCTAGGCCAAATATTCGCCCAATTTTTAATTAGAGTACAAGTTTGAAGTCAACGAAATGTAAAGGAGGAATAAAATTGATATTTTGGACTTTTTTACATGAAACATAGTCCAATCGAAAGCAGTACCTCCTCAACGAACTGCTTTCAACGATTGATGAGGTCAACCAAGATCTAGGCAGTGAAATACTGTGGTGTGATTCTCACCTCCCACTTCAATGGGAATTTGGCATGTGGTCTGCTTTTCCGTTTTGTAAGAGTACTCCATACGCCTGGCCAAAGGTGTGATGGTCAGTGTAGAGGTGTGTGTCTACAGGCTGTGTAGGAGACGGTGAAATAATGGCTGCCTTGATCTGTAGTTTATAACCGTTTCCAAAGGAGGCACAAAATGACCTCGAATTCCACTTTAATGAAGCCATTTCTCCTAGGTACGAAGAGGCCTAACCATCGCCACCACCGCACCTAACGCACTTTCATTTCCCAACTGTCAAGTTCACATGTGATTATCCAGGTCCGATGAAGGGTGATAGGCAATTGGCGGCAGGTATGTCAATCCTGAATATGATTTGGTCTAAAGCAGGTGAACGATTTTGACAATTGTGCCCAGGCTAAACAGTCACCCAGTTTGAAATTAGACTTCCATGCTGAAACCACCACAACAATATAACCAACTCGAAGTGTAAACGAAGTGAGTGCCTTGGTGACATGTTTTTTGTCGATAAACAAATGAGGAGTTCCGTTTCTGCAAA